TACCATGGCAACAAAAGCTGCAGCTGCGCTTCCGCAGTAGAGAAACAGGTATGCTGCGAGAATGTCGAATACGAAGAGGAATATCAGCATCCAAGTGATGAAGTATTCAGGGTAATACTTCCTCACCCATGGATTTGTGAAAGCCTCGGTGTTGAAAGACGGCGCGTAGAATACAAGGTAGAGGACCAACGAGAAGACTGAACTGAAAAAGACTCCACGCAGCAAGCTTCTCGCGGCTTCGGCGTCAGCATTTGCTCCAGAGCGCAAGAAGCGCAGAGAGGTCAGACAGCTGCCCATTACACAGTAGCAAAGACAGCTGACGTGTCCGCACGCATGCACCGTGGCGAAGCTGGCTTGAGCCAACCGGCTGTGCACGGCACGTTCACTAGTGGCCGTGACTTGCACGTGAACGTACACTAGAACTAAATGCTTGTAAGGTTATGTTTTACGTTGTGCTCTGCTGTCGATGATTCCTTCCACCTGTGTCTCCCAGACGGCTTCGGGCGGACCCCCTGACACAGAGTGATAGTCGCCCTCAGAAGCCAGACCACGTGTTCACCGAATGGCTCTCAATGCGGTCGGGTCCACTGAATCAGCCGCGAAATGCCGAGAGCCGAAGCCCTCCGCTGCCTCCAGAGCACCGCGTCTGCTGTGGTGAAAAATGCACGCAGAAAGAGGCACACTAGACACCACGCGGTGCAGCGATGCTGCAGACTGCTGGCCGAAAATCAGAATGATCTCCGAACCCTTCAGGTGCCGGCGTGGGATATGCCTGCCCGTACCGAATCACCTGCTCGGGTGCGCTCGATTTCGCTGTCAGAAGTGGGGGAAGGGGAGTTCAGGTGGTGCCGAACACGGTTCCGGGTTCCCCTGCCAAGATCATCTCAAAGGCGACGCAAGAGGCCCCAACGACCACGAATAACCCCCAAGAGAGCCCCCAAGAGGCGCAGGACAGGCACCAAGAGAAGCATCAAGAGACCCCAAGGCATGACGGTGCCCAGGAACACGAAGGTACCGCGCACCCACAGCGCAGCAGCGACTAGGCACGATAACTGACAATCAGCACGCACAGGTGCTACAAGCAGATCAATCATCTGGCTGGCGGCAGCAGCGATAGAAGATATGATACCGGAGAAAAACCCAATCATAATATTTGGCTATAGAGCTATAGGACTATAGGGCTATAGGAATGTAGGGCTATAGGGCTACAAGGCTATAAGACTATAAGGTCACAGGGCTATAGAGCTATAGGGCTATAGGACTATAGGGCGATTGAGCTATAGGGCTATAGGGCTATAGGGCTAGAAGGCTATGGGGCTGTAGGGCTTTAGGGCTATAGGGCTATAGGGCTCTAAAACACCCGGGCACCCGGGCACCCGGGCACCGCGGAAATCGGCGGCGAACCTCACCCGGGCACCCGGGCACCCGGGCACCCGAGCGTGCCGCCGAAATCGGCGCCCCACCTCAACTAACCATATAAATCCGCCAGGACCCCTACAGAGGCAAGCTCTGATTGGGGAATAAGCAGCTGCAAAGCAGGGGGAACTACAGCCGCTTGTGATTCGCGCGCTTGACTTGTGGCGCAGGCTGGGGCGACGTGATCACGAAGGACACTTGTGGGTGCATACCTCGATGAATCGTGAGCTTGAGCTGCCCCAAGATCGACAACGCTTCTCTCGACCCTCATCGCTTATCATGGGCTTTGGGGGGCCCTTTCGAGGGCCTCTGGGGATGTCCTGGGGCCTTGGGATCCGCTTTGGATGTTTGTTTGAGGCTCTTGGGGCTCTTGGGGCTCTTGGGGCGCCTTCGGCGCCTAAGTATATTGTTAGACCGGAGCCTTCCTCAGGGCCCTCGTAACGTTTGGGAGGACTGTGATCCCTCCCGAGATGACCTCAAGACGATGCCGGCACGAGACCCTGAAGGAGGAGGAGGACGAGGCGGACGCGAGGAAGAACACGATGGGATGATAGCAAGGAGGGGTGGAGGGAGAGGAGGAGGGAGAGGAGGGAGAGGAGGAGGGAGAGGAGGAGAGAGAGGGAGAAGGAGGAGCAGGAGGAGGAGAGTATTGAAGACGTCGTCCCGACCGTGGCTCCAGAAGTGCATTTGAGCGCGGGTAACAGGAGGTAGAGACAGGAAGAGGGAGAGAGAGAGAAGGGGAGGGGAAAAACAGGAGATGCAGAGGGAGAGGGATGAGGATGAGGGAGTTTAAGGAGGAGGAGGAGAGAGGGAAGATTCTGGAATGATGGGGGTGGTAGGAAATGAAAAGAGAGAGGGGGTGGGGAGCCAGAAGGTTTGGCCTGCTGGGCAGTCATGTAAATCCAAAGCTGCCCCACGGATCTGCTGGGCAACCATCAATATCCAGGGGGGGTCCCCGGATCCGCGTCGGCGATGCTACTGGGGCCTTGTTGTGGCGCTGTACTGGGGTCCTTTTCGGGACACTTCGCAGCCTCCTGGGACCATCTCGAGCCCTCTCGGAATGTCTCCGGCTACCGTGGGGCCGTTTGGGGCCATCCGGGCGCCGTCCGGGGACTTCCTGGGGCTCCTGGGGCAGTCCCGAGCCACCTCGAAGCACTCTTGGGCCTCTCATTGGGCCGCTTCTGACCGCGCTGGCCCTCTGGGCCATCTTGGTGTCGCCTGGAGACTTCCATGGGGCCGTTGGCTGCCCCGAGACGCAGCACGCAGCACGTGGCGTAGTGCTACGGAGCTCCACGCGTGGACTGGAAACGTGGGTCCGACGCGATACGTTCGCCAAAACGTGGGCCAATACGTGGAGCCCTTTGTGGGCCCCGGAGACGGCAGGGCCGTTTTTTCACCGTTTCCAAAAAAAGGTCCCTGGAAAATGGAAACGGCAAAACAACGGCGACCAAAAACGGCAAGACAACGGCTCCAAGATTGGAATCGGAGCCGGAACTGGTCAAAAAACGGCGACGGAACCGGTAAAAAAACGGCGTCGGAACCGGCAAGAAAACTGCAAAACGGAACCGGTAAAAAACGGCCCTGTCGTTTCCAGGGCCCACTAAGGTGGAGCCAACACGCAACGTGTTGGCACGGACGTCTTGAACACGGCACGTGTTGCGTACCAAAACGGGCGTATCGAGGCAGCTGAGCTTGGGCCTCTCATGGGCCGCTTCGGACCGCTCTGGCCCTTTGGGCCATCTTGGTGCCGTCTGGAGACCTCATGGAGCTCTTGGGGGCAGTCCTACGCCACCTCAATGCACGCTTGGGCTTCTCGTGGGCCGCCTCTGACCGCTCTCGAGCCCCTCCGTGGCCCTGCTGGAATGCCGAGGCCACACGCTCGGCGGACAAAAATAAGCAGCCCTGGAAAAAAGAACCGCCTGAAGGCACCCCTTCACTCCTCCTCCTCCTCCTCCTCCTCCTCCTCCTCCTCCTCCTCCTCCTCCTCCTCCTCCTCCTCCTCCTCTCCTCCTCCTCCTCCTCCTCCTCCTCCTCCTCCTCCTCCTCCTCCTCCTCCTCCTCCTCCTCCTCCTCCTCCTCCTCCCCCTTACAATGTTTAATTGTTTGGAGCCGTCTGGAAATCCTGAATGTCTTCTTGGGGCCCTCGGGGGCCGTCTTGGGGTCATCTTGGAATCTCTTGGGCCCCCTGCGGCTCTCTGGGCGCTATCTGGTAGACCTGTTGGAACATGTTGGCGTGCGCTCGGCGTGATCTTGTGCCAGGCTGGAGGTCTCTGCAAGCAAGAGGCCCCAGAACCATAAAAAAGGCCCGCGGACCCGGGGTACTGAAGGGGCCCTGGGACACACAAATAAATACACATAAATAATAGGATTCCCAATATTTTCCGACATTTTCTGGGTTTCTGTCTTCCCCCCCACTTCTCATATTTTCCTATATTTTCCGGGGAGTCGACGATGAATTGTGTCTGTGTGCTTTTTCCCCTCCTGAGGTACGCAGTGCAGTCGGCAAGGCTCCGTATGGGGGACCAGACGCGAGTCGGCCCTGCGCCTGCGGACCCGATCGTCGGTGACATCACTGCTGCGGCCAGTGGCAGGCAGAATTTATCGAGAAGGGCCCCGCAGCCAGCAGGTAATGCGGGATGATGATTAATAAAAAAATGGGAGAGGACGATTCAAAAAATTGTCTTCTGCGATTTCTGCACCAGTTCCTGACTGGAGGAGAACGATTTTTAAAAAAGTGTTCCAGCCCGCAGCCGGCTCTTTCTAATCGTCATCCCGGGCGCCGCCGCGTGAACACGACCCCCGGTCATTTATTATTCGTCATCCTCCATTACTGTGGGCGTACGTCAAGCCAGTGGCCTGAGCCAAGCTGCTGACCGACTCGGCCGCCGAGGAGGGAGAAGATGAAGTGCGGCAAGGGCAGTCCGCACACCGGCAGTGCCGGGCGTCCCCGTGACCAACTGGCTCGCCCGCGCGTGCCCGTGAAGCACGTGCACAAGAGAGCGCACGCGCGCGCAGATGGCGGAGGGGACGCGCGGACACAAGAATGGCCAACAGGGACTGGCAGACGCGCGGGCAGGGCACGACAGGAACAGGACGAGCAGAGCACGGACGACATCGGAAAGGGGGCGAGGCGGGACCGCGCAAGGGGAAGGGCGGGAGGCCAGCGGGGCGAGGCAGGACGGGACGGGACGCGACGAGGTGGGAGAAACGAGAGCGGGCGGCGCGCCGAGGGGGGAAGTGAGGGGGGGGGCCGGCCTCCTCAAAGGTGGCGGGGCATCTCGGGAGCCCTCTGGCCTTCTGAGGAGCCCCCGTGCGGCTTCGGAGAGGGCTCGGGAAGCCTCTCGGCCGGCCGCGGGCCTCGTGAGCCTGCTGGACATGCCCGCCCCCCCCCCCCCTGCCCTTCCCGCCCGGGCGCCCGCCAAGAGGCCGGGCGGCACGCGTCCGGACAGGACGGACGGCCAGGACGGGGGAGCGAACAGGCGGGCGGGGCGGTGTGCTCTGACGGCGGGAGGGCGCACGGCGGGAGCAGCGCGGGAAGGGGGGGCGGGAAAGGGGGGCAGGCTGGAGCGGCGAGGACGGTGCAGCTGCCTTTCTTGGAATTACGTGTGCGAACATTGGCACGCCTTCTGGACGGCGCCGGCCGTGTACCAGGCCGACTCGGTGCACGCGTCAGGGGCGTGCCAGCACGCGCGTCGCCGCGTCGGCGTGCATCAGGCTGGCATGGTACACGGTTGGCGTCGTCCAAGCCTTGCATCTACTCGTCCACGGCGACGACACCCTGGCCGTCGCAAGCACAGCGCCCAGAAGCGCGCAGGGAAGACAATGCTCGCGTCGCCCGAAACGGCAGATCCGACCACGGGAGCCACACGAGGGTGGCGGAGGGAAGCGGCGAGAAAGGCGAGAGAACGGGAAGGAAGAGGACGCAGGGAAGGGAAAACGCTGACATCCAGCGCTCCAATTTTGTCGATGCGTGGACCACTGGAGATCTGGACAACTTCCCTCGGGCCGGCTGTTCATCCTGCGCTGTGTTGTTGACGGTCCCGGGGCCCGTTGAGGGCCCTCGGATGCCGAACATTGTCAAAGACGAGCCGCTCCAACTTTTTAAGCGTCTGAAGGCCAGGAGGGGAATGAGGAGGGCCCTGGAGGCCCTCTGAACCCCCGGGAAGCTCCTGGGGGGCCAAGCAGGACCAGGAGCGCCCAGGACGGGCGAAAGCCTACATCTATGGTAACGAGGGAGGAGGAGGTGGAGGAGGAGGATAAGGAGTGCAAACCCAAGACCCATCAACGATGCTGCAAAAAACCCTCCCTCCAAGCTCCCTCCATGTCACGAGTCCCTAAAACCGTTTGAGAATCCTGAGCCATGCCAGAACACCATTCCTGGGACTTCAACGCCGCGAATCAACGTAACTGTTGCACCTTGGCGATCCTGAGTCGCGCCAGAACACCACTCCCGGGACTTCAACACCGCGGATCAACGTGACGGTTACGCCCTGACCGCCATACATCATGCCAAAACATGATTTCTGGGGCATCACCCAGAATATTCCTATTCTATCAAATTCAAAATATATGTCACGCGTGCGGCGCAAGTATGAAAACCACGTTTCGAAAAGGAACCACCCCCCAGTCGTGAAACGATTGCTAACTTTTAAGACGAACGTGCGTGGCGCTGAAGCAAGAGCCACATTTTGAAAAAGACACAACCCTCCATCCGTGAAACCCTTGCTAACTTGTATGGCGAGTGCGCGCGGCGCAACAGCGAGACTCACAATTATGAAAGGGAGCCCCCCTCCATCCTTCAAGCGCATGCAGGCTGTCATGAATGTACTCGGCGCCACGACGAGAACCACATCTTCAAAAGGAGCCACCCTCCATCCGTGAAGCCCTTGCAGATCCTTTTGTGGCAGATGCGCACGGCGCTAAGGCGGAGCCACATTTTGAAAAGGACCAGCCCTCCACCAGCGAATCTTCTGCAAAATGAAAGTTTCAGGATCACGAGTGGCGAAGAAGTCCCAGTCGACACGCCCAGCCCACCTTACCAGCACGGCCGGGGGTGCGACGGGGGAGAGTGATCCATGTTAGCTGGCGTGGGCCCAGGGCAACGCGTCTAGCAATCTATGGTGTGCAACCTATGCGGAGCAATCTACGTGGTGCAAACAGTTTCTGTTCGCAGCGGTTGTCCACCCCATTGCTCGCGCAATCACCCCACCCACCCACCAGCACCCTGGTTTGCAGAAGTCATGCAGCGGAGATTGCGATGAGTGCTGGGCGTTGGCTGGTGCATCTCTGCGGCCGCGCTAGCCCGCGCATGCTCGCGCGCGCAGCGGCCAGCTAGTTTAGCGAAAATGACGCGGCCGCGGTGGCGCTGACCACTGGGCAATTCCCAGCGAGCACTTCAGTGCGAGACGGCGACTTGGAGAGGCGCGGTATCATGGCAACGTCGAAAACAGTACACGCGATAATGATGGTAGCGACGCTGGCGGCAACGATGACAATGTCGGCAGCAAGGCCTTTGACGGCGCCGATGCTGATCACGCCGACGACGATGACGGAGCCGTCGCGTAGGCGATGACGGTTTGAAGGGAGTTCGACATGCGCGCGCGGCCGATGAGCAAGAAAGGCCATCATGTACTATTTGACACAGATCGCGCCCCACTTCCCCCCCAGCACGCGCGCAAGGGCGTTCGAACGATTTCAACGCGCGGCGCGAGGTGCCCGTTTGGCCGAATTGCGTGAAAGTGTTAACACACGGTTTTTCTGAAGAATGCGCAGGAGCATGGGCGCAGACATGTTTGGAAATTGGCGTTGCCAAACCATGTGTGCTTATATGTTTCCGAGGCACTCGATTTTGAAACCCTTACAAGCCTTGAAGTTGTCAAGGGATACTGGCACACGCGCGCGCGACGACGCGCGCGCGCACGTCGTCCCATTTGCTGCAAGGGGGTTTTGCGACAGCACGCGCGCGAGGGCGTTCGAGGGATTCTGAAACTCGCGCATGGGAGGCCCGTGTGGTAGCAAGAGATGAGCATGTTGAACAACCTACGGTTTTCCCATGCATTCACAAGAGTAAGATCGCAAGATTTGTTAGAAAATTCGTGTTGCGACACCATGTGTTTTTTTTCAACGTTTCGGGACACTCGATCATGAACTCCGTACGAAACCTGAGGTTCTTGAAAGGTGTCGGCACGCGCGCGCGACGACGAGCGCGCGCGCATTACGTCCCATTTGTTGCAGCGGATTCTTGCAAGTTCATGACTTTTGATAAGCGAATTCGCGCGCATAGTGTTCTGCGGGAGATGAACTGGGGGCGGATGACCGCCTGCCTGGGATGGCACGAACTCAAATTCAGGATGGGCGATGGGGCAACATCGCATGCAAATTGCAAAATGAAAAGTGAGCCGCTGACTCCGGAAAGGGGAGGGTGGATCCTAATATTTTTTGGGAAAGGCGGATGAATTTCTGCTCGCAATGAGTTGCCCACTCCACTGCTCGCGCACTCACCACACCCACCCACGCGCAACTTGGTTTGCAAAACTCATGCGGCGGCGATTGCGATGCTCGCGCATGTTTGCGCGCGCAGCGGCCAACTACTTACTTTGGCGCGACCGACGCAGCCGCGGTGGCGCTGACCGCAGGGCACGTCCCAGCGGGCATTTCAGTGCGAGTCCGCGACTTGGGCAGGCGCGGCATCATGGCAACGTCGACAACGGCAGACGCGACGACGACGGCAGCGACGCTGGCGACGATGATGACAGCGGCGACGGCAAGGCCATTAACAGCGCCGAAGCTGATCACGCAGACGACGATAACCGCGCCGTCGCGCCAGCGATGAAGGTTGCGAAGGGAGTTCGGCAAACACACACGGCCGACGCGCGATAGTGGCCCGCGTGGTACTATTTGACAAAGATCGCGCCCCCCCCCCCCCCCATCACCCCAGCACGTTATATATTTATATATATACACACATACATACGTACGTACGTACATACATACATACATACATACGTACGCACATACATATATATATATATATATATATATATAATGCGATCTTCAGAATTCGGAGGAGCTCGAGCGCAATCATTTGTTATAGCTGACGTTGCCAAACCAGCTGCGTTTATATGTGATCGGGGCACTCGATATTGAACTCCTTGCGAAACCCGAGGTTTTTGAAATATTCCAGCATGCGCGCGCGACGACGAACGCGCGCGCGCACTTCGTCACATAAGTAGAAACTGATCATTGAAAACTGTGGTTTTTCATATAAGCGCTGGCGTGCGCAAAGTCATCTCTGCACAGGACGCGGGGGGCGGGGGGGGGGCGACGCTGGCGCCTGCCTGGGATGGTACGAATGCAGATTCAGGACGGACGATGGGGCATAATCAGATGCACGCTGCAATCCGAAGAGAGGAACACTCGATTCCGAAGGGGGGGAGAGGGGCGGGGGGGAGATCCGAATGCTCTTTGAGACATGAGAATCTACGCGGCGCAACAGACGCTGCGCAATATAGGTTGCGCAAGAGGTTGTGCAACATTGCAGATAGTCGTGCGCATGTAGTCATATGAATATATACCTTGTATATTTATATACATATATATATATGTATGTATATAAGTATTATCATACGCACCTCTCCGAGGGAGTAGAGCTCAGAGGCGATTAATGCGCACGTCGTCCGCGATTTGTCTGGCCGTTTCGCTCGGGACATCCTCGAAATTCTGAAAATCGGTGGCACCCCTCACGCAGATCGTGACGTCAGGGTCCAAAAACACATGGGAATTTCAACATTTTAACATTAAGCCTTCAAAAACACATGGTAATTTCAATAATGTTGACCCCGATTCTCAGAGAATGGCGGTTTCGCCTGAGACATCCTCCCAAAATCGAGCCCCAGACCCCTCCTCGGAGCCTCCTGGGGGCCTCCTGGAACCTCCTGGGGCCTCCTGGGGCTTTCTGGACCTTCTGGTACCCCAGACCCCGCCTCGGAGCCTCCTGGAGTTCTCCTGGGCCTGCTGAGGCCGCCTGGGGCCTCCTGGGGCCTCCTGGGGCTTCAGAACTACATGCACACACAGAGACACAAATCACGCCCAACACATCACACGCTAGACAAACATAACATACACACACACACAACACCGACAACACACAAAAAGCACGCACCACACAAAGCACACATCACACACACACACAACACTCACAATCCTGGGGCCTCCTGGAGCCTCTTCTGGTATCCAAGTCGGGCCTCCTGAGGCTTCCTGGGGGGCCCTGGTACACACATCGCAAGGTGTGGCAACCCCACTTGCGCTCGAGTGCGACTTCGCTGTTGCATGTCACTCCTGCTTCAAACGCCCCTTCAGCTTGTTGTATGAGCCTGGGCACACACGTGCCACTTGTATATGCATGTATGATGCCGCATTTGTGGAGCAATCGATGCGGCGCCGTCTGCGCGGGGCAGTATATGCGGAGCAATTAAATTCTATCCGCAATGAATTATCCACTGCTCGCGCAATCACCTCGCCCGCCCACCCGCGACTTGGTTTGCGTCGTCCGGCGCGGCGGCGGCAATGAGTGATTGGCGTTGGCTGGTGCATATCTGCGGCCGCGCTGGCCCGCGCACGTTCGCGCGCGCAGCGGCCAGCTTGTGCGCCGCGACCGATGAGGCCGCGGCGGCGCTGACCGCTGCGCACGCCCCTGCGGGCGCCCCAGTGCAAGTCGGAGACTTGGGCAGTCGCGGCACCATGGGACGGCAGCGACGCTGGCGACGATGATGACAACGACGACCGCAAGGCCATTGACGGCGCGGACGCCGATCACGCCGGCGACGATGACCTCGATTTCGACGCGCGCGCGCGGCCGACGCGCGAGTGGCCCGCACGGCACTACGCGACGCAGATCGCGCCCCCCCCCCCCCCCAGCCCGAGCGCAAGGGCGTTCAAATGATCTAGACGCGCGGCGCGAGAGGCCTATTGAAGCCCGCTTGGCAGAATTTCATGACGCGTTGAAAAACCCCGGTTATCGCGCGGCTTCACAAAAACGCGAGCGCGCGTCTTTTGGGGAAACTGGCGCGGCTAAACCATATGCTTTGACATGCTTTCGGCGCACTCAATTTCGAAGTCCTCGCGAACCCGAATGTGCGAGATAGGTTTCGGCACGCGCGCGCGCGACAACGCGCGCGCGGGCGCCTCGCCCACTTGTCGCCCAGGGTTCTCGCGACAGCACGCGCGCGGGGGCACCCGAGCGACGTCGCTGCGCGCGCGCGAGAGGCCCGTTTGGTAGCACGCCATGGACAAGGTTTCCCCCTCATCGAACACATGCACTCTCAAGAACGCGGGCGTAAGCTTCGTCTGAAAACTCATGTTCCGAAGCCATGCGATGTTTCTGTTTTCCCCGCGCTCGATTCTGACATCCCGACGAAATCGAGCGCTCGCGGAGAATTGCGGCGCGCGCGCCCGACGACGAGCGCGCGCGCAAATCGCCCCATCGCGAGCAAGGGGTCACCGAGAAAAAATTAATTTGCGATGTACGAGCGCGCGCGCATCAATGTTTTTGGCTTGAGAAGAACGAAAGGCAAGGCGATGCCGGCCTGCCAAGGATGACACGAATCCACATGTAGGATGGACGCTGGGGCAAGATCATACGCGAATTTCAAAGCGCAAGAGGCGACGTTCATTCAGGCGGAGGGGGGGGGGGGATGGGGGGGCCTCATCGCTCTTTCAGAAAGGAAAACTTTTGTTCGCAATGAGTTGTCATCTCGACCCGCCCGCCCACCCGCAACTTGGTTTGCGTGGGCCCACGCGGCAGCGATTGCGATGCGTGCTCGGCGTTGGCCGGCGCATCTCTGCGGCCGCGCTCGCCCGCGCATGCGCGCGCGCAGCGGCTAGCTAGCCCGGCGCGACCGACGCGGCCGCAGCGGCGCTGACCGCCACCGCCGGGCACTTCCCAGCGGGCACTTCAGTGCGAGTCGGCGACCTGGGCAGGCGCGGCACCATGGCAACGTCGACAACGGTAGACGCGATAATGATGGTAGCGACGCTGGTTGCGACGATGACAACGTCGACGGCAAGGCCATTGACGGCGACGCTTATCGCGCCGACGACGACGATGAAGCCGTCGCGCAGGCAATGACGGTTTGAAGGGAGTTCGACATGAGCGCGCGGCCGACGCGCACGAGTGGCCCGCGAGTTATCATTCGAACCAGATCGCGCCCCCGCCCCACCCACCCTGCCCCACCCCGGCAAGCGCACGAGGGCGCTAGAACGATTTCGGCATGTCGCATGGCTTTCTAGAGACTGCGCAAAAGAGCGAGCGCGGGCTTCTTGGGAAACTGGCGCTGCAAAGCCACACGTTTGACATGTTTCGGAACGCTCGACTTTGAAATCCTGGCGAAACCAAACGTTTTTGGAAGATTCCGCCGCGCGCGCGACAACGCGCGCGCGTGCACTTCGCCCCAACTTGCGCAAGGGATTCTCGCGACAGCACGCGCACTGGGGCGCGCGAACGATTTTGACACGCGCGCGCGAGTGGCCCGTTTGGTAGTATGTTAAGGACATGTTGAAAAAAACGATGGTTTCCTTGTGAACTCGCAAGAGCGCGGGCGGAAGCGCGCCGTGAAAACTCGCGCTGCAAGACCAAATGCTGTTTCATATGTTTCCGGGGCACTCGTTCTTGAAATCCTTGGAAACTGATGATTTGTAACGAACGAGCGCGCAAGCATGACATGTTTTGCAGTGGGGCGGGCGACGCCGGCCTCTCTGGGCCGGCATAAAATCGCAACTCGGATGGACGATGGGGCAGTACCACGCGCCAATTACAATGCGAAAAGGGGAACCGTTCATTCCAAGGGGGGAACATCCTACTACTTTTCTGGCGCGAAGAATCAATGTTGTGCAATATACAGATGTTGGGATACATGTTTCGTGATATGCGTGGTGCGGAATATACGTGGCACCTTCGGCGTGATGCAACATATGCGTTGGAACCGACGTTGCGCGTCCTATGCGCGGTGAATACATGGTGTGCATTCTATGTGGTGCGCTACCTATATGGTGCAGACGACGTGGTGCAACGTATGCTGTGCCATCTACACGGTTCAACATACGATGTGCAATCTATGTGGTGCACAATCAAGTCGGTGCAGAGACTATGAGGTGCAGTCGACATGGTCGAATCCACGTAGTGCAAACAACGCGTTGCAAGTGCCATCTATGTGGTGCAATTGATTCTTACCGATGAGATGACAAGTTCCATGCCCTTGCAAACATCCCACCCACCCACCCGCAACTTAGCTTGCAAGACCCATACAGCGGCGATTGCGATGCGTGCTCGGCGTTGGCTGGTGCATCTCTGCGGCCGCGCTAGCCCGCGCATGCTCGCGCGCACAGCTGCCAGCTACTTTGGCGCGACCGACGCGCCCGCGGTGGCGCTGACCGCTGGGCACTTCCCAGCGGGCCCTTCAATGCGAGTCGGTGACCTGGGCGGGCGCGGTATCATGGCGACGCCGACAACGAAAGACACCATTACGAGAGTAGCGATGATGCTGACGATGGTGGCGATGACGACGGCAAGGCCAATGACGGCCCCGATGCTGATCACGCCCGACGATAACGATGACGACGTCCTCGCGTCGGCGATGGAGGTTTTCCAAAGAGTTCGACACAAGCGCGCAGCCGACGCGCGCGTGGCCCGCGTACTGTTATTTGACAAGGACCGTGCCCCACCCCCCCGCAGCACGCGCGCAAGGACGTTCGAATGATTTCGACATTCGCGCGCGAGAGACCCGCTTGGTGACACTTTTTGTAAATGTTGAAAAACGTATGGTTTGCTTGAGAATACACACGACCGCGAGCGCAGGATATGTTGTTGAAAAATGGTGTTGCAAAACTATATGTTTTGTCATGTGTTCGGTACACTCGTTTTTGAAGCCCGTGCGAAACCTAAAGTGTTTGAAGGATTGCGGCATGCGCACGCGACGACGCGCACGTCTGCACGTTGTTCCATGGGTTGCAAAGGGGTTCTTGCGACAGCACGTGCGCAAGGGTGTTCTAACGATTGCGATATGCGCGCGCGAGAGGCCCGTTTGGTTGCATATTTTGAGAAGATTCAACAACCGATGGTGCTTTGATGAATTCGTAAGAGCGCGGGCGCAAGTTTTTTCGAAAAGCCTTGTTGCGAAACCATGTGCTTTATTATGTGTTCGTGATTCTCGATTTTGAAATCTTTATGGAACCTAAAAAATTGTTGGCTGATTTCGGCATGCGAGCAAGACGACGCAAGCGTGTGCAATTCGTTCCATATGTTGGAAAAGTGTTTTTTATTGATAAAAACTTGTAGTTTTTGATAAACGAGTGCGCGCGCATACTATTATTTTGCAGGCGGGAAAGAGAAGGCCGATACCGGCCTGCCCGGGATGAGATGAATTCATCTTTAGGATGGACGATGGGGCAGAGTCTTATGTAAATTGAACACGAAAAGGTGGTCGGTTAGCGGGGGTAGTACTAATACCTTCTTAAGAAAGGAGAATATGTATATGTTGCGCAATCTAGGCGACGATGGGGCGGCGACGAGGCGGCGACGGGGCGGCGACAGCGACAAAATAGCTGCCAGACCGCCACACTGGCCGAGACCACGGGCGGCGACGACGCAGCGATGGGGCGGCGACGGCGACAATATGGCCGCCAGACCGCCACACCGGCCCAGACGATGGGCGGCGGCGACGGGGCGGCTACGGCGACAACAAAGCCGCCACATCCGCCCAGTTCCTTAGAAAAGACTTGAGAACTCCAAATTGCAAGCACTGATTGGGGGACAAGAAGAAAAAATGGAGGAGGAGGAGGAGGAGGAGGGGAAGGAGGGCCCCAGAGGTCCTGGCGCTTTCCACGAGGCCAGCTTTTCGCCTGGAGCTGTTTGCGGGCGGCCCTGGTGCAGAAGGGGGCCGACAACAGCGAAGAAAAGCCCGACGCCCTTTCTTTCCCCTCAGGACCCCCTGTCTCCGTGGCAAGGAATTGATTTGTGAGGCTTCGAGCTGCGCGCAGACAGCCCCCTCTGGTAGTCCCCGCTGGCCTCAACGGGCCCCCAAGTGACAGGCCGCCCGAGTAGTCCAGGGCGGTCTCGACTTCATGTCACCGCCTCCAGCGGCTCTCCGGGGGCGCTCCGCGCCCCCGGCTTGGTGTGTTGAGACCGCCCCGGACTACTGGAAGGGGGAGCCCTGTTGAGGCCAGCTGGGCCTCCTCGGGGGGCCTGCTGAGGCCAGCTGGGGCTGCCTCGGAGGCTGCCTGTGCGCAACCCGAGGCCCTACCAGGCAAGAGGGTGCTCGGGGAGAGGGGGCGTGCCCGTGACAAGCCAGCCGCAACAGGCGCGCGAACAAGCGCCGCGCCAAAGACAGGGTTGCGAGTCGCCGCCGCCGCGCGCTGGGACAGAGCCCTCGTGCGCTGGTGGGGGTAGCGGAAGGCAGGTAGGGTGGGGGGGCAGGGGGGTCAGCTGGCTGTAGAAGCCTCCAGAATGAGGTCTGGGTGGACGGGGACGGACGATCGCGTCGCATCGCCGATGCATCGGCGACGTCGGCGTCGAGAACATCGGGCTCCACATCCAGCCGCATCGGCGATGCGGTACGATCCTCCGACACGTATACGCACTCGGATCCCATCCGGGAGGCCTGGACCGGCTCCAGAGCCCCCCTCGCGTCGTGGAAGGAACTGCTTGCTTCGTGCTCGCTGGCCCCCGGGGGGGGGGGCCTCCACCGTGCCCCGCCCGCGGGACCGTCGACAAACTGCTCGGAAGGAGCACCGGCCCCGGGGAGGGGGTCGAGACCGCCGCTGCGAAAAGAGAAGAGCAGTGGGCCTGGGCTGGCGCAGGGGGGGGAAGACGTTGCTCCAGGATCGGCGATGCATCGCCGAGGCACTGGCGACCGGCCCTGGACCACGAACGCACCCCGCTCCTGAGCGGGCTTGGGGCAGCCAAGCCCCGATCGGCGACGCGAGGGCGATTGCGGGTCAATCTGGGAGGGAAGAGGAGGAGGAGGAGAACGAGGACAACCACGAGAACGAGAAGGAGGAGGAGGAGGAGGAGGAGGAGGAGGCGGCCGCGGGGTCTGAACTGGATAGACCTCGAAAAAATCTAACAGAACGGGGGGTAAGGGCAAATCCGCTGGCAATCGGTTCCTGGACCCCTCCCTGGCCCCTCCCAGTGTCCATCTTGTGCAGAATTCCAACCTGGAGCAGTTGTTGACGGTCCTGGTGCTCCAAGGGCAATCCAGCCCCCGGTTCGGGGGTTACCAAAAGGTCCCCCAGGGTGCCCCCAGCTTGTCGCTCCATTTTGGAGCCCCTGGGGGCCTAGTGAGGGGTGCTCTAGAGGCCTCGCAGGCCTCCTTGGAAATCCGGGAGGCACGTTGGGCCAGGGGCACTTTTAGCAACACCCGACTGAGGATGTCTGGAGAGGAGAGGAGAGGAGAGGAGAGGAGAGGAGAGGAGAGGAGAGGGAGAGGAGAGGAGGAGGAGAGGGAGAGGAGAGGAGAGGAGATAGGAGAGGAGATAGGGAGAGGAGATAGGAGGAGAGGAGAGGAGAGGAGAGGAGAGGAGAGGAGAGGAGAGGAGAGGAGAGGAGAGGAGAGGAGAGGAGAGGAGAGGAGAGGAGGAGAGGAGAGGAGAGGAGAGAGGAGAGGAGAGGAGAGAGGAGAGGAGAGGAGAGGAGAGGAGAGGAGAGGAGAGGAGAGGAGAGGAGAGGAGAGGAGAGGAGAGAGGAGAGGAGAGGAGACAGGAGATAGGAGAGGAGATAGGAGAGAGAGGAGAGGAGATAGGAGAGGAGATAGGAGAGGAGAGGGAGGAGAGAGAGGGAGGAGAGAGATAGGAGAGGAGAGGAGATAGGAGAGGAGAGGAGATAGGAGAGGAGAGGAGATAGGAGAGGAGAGGAGATAGGATAGGAGAGGATAGGATAGGAGAGGAGAGGAGAGGGGAGGGTCAGCACCCCCATTCACGCGCTCGTTGTTCGCATTCGTCGCGAACACGCCGGCGACCAGCCCCGCACCCCCCGACCGCACCCGACCTTCCGCCGCCCCCCGGCCGTGCAACGCTGGGGACGGGCCGCCGGCGGGCCCCCAGGGGGCCGCGGCCTCGAGGCGTGCAGGTTCGCAGGCAGGCAGGCGGGCAGGGCGGTTCCCCCGTGTCCGGAGTCTCTGATGGGCCTGCCTGCTCTCCACCATCACCACCACCAGAAGTTGGAGGGGGAGGGGGTCCTCCTCCTCCTCCTCCTCCTCCTCCCTCCTCCTCCTCCTCCTCCTCCTCCTCCCTCCTCCTCCTCCCTCCTCCTCCTCTCCTCCTCGTCCTCCTCCTCCTCCTCCTCCTCCTCCTCCTCCTCCTCCTCCTCCTCCTCCTCCTCCTCCTCCTCGCTCTCTTCGTCCTCCTCCTCGTCCTCCTTCCCTCCTCCAACTCATGGTGGTGGTGGTGGAAAACAGGCCCATCAGTCTTGGCGCTCGTGCGAGCAGCGTGGAACCGCAGCCTCCTCCCTGTCCCCACCTTCCCCCGCCATTTCGTGCACACACGCACGCACGCACGCACGCACGCACGCACGCACGCACGCACGCACGCACGCACGCACGCACGCACACACACACACACACACACACACACACACACACACACACACACACACACACACACACACACACACACACACGCGTGTTTCGCTTGGCGCCGCGGCCCTGCGCGCGGCGACACGGTGGAGAAGGCGCGAAAGCAGCGGGGCGCACGCGCGCGAGTCTGCGCCCGCCCGCGCACTCAGAGATCATTTAGGGCATCAACACACACACACACACACACTCAAGACTGACCCATGCTCAGACTCACTATTCACCTAGTCGTGTGCAGACTCGCTCACACTCAGACCCACTCATAAGCAGACCCACTTACTCAGACTCACTCATCTCAGACACACTCATAATCAGACCCACTCAGACCCAGATCCACGCACACTCAGACTTACACTCAGATTCGCCCACATCCAGACGAATTCATACACTTAGGCATCGCGTGTAGTCCTCACAAGGGAGGGGTCGCCTTCGGACCCAGATGAATGGAACCTCTCGAGTCGAACGCCTGGTCGGGGGGAAACGCATACCTGTTCACAGAGCCCCATGGTCACTGCGAGGTAGCGGGCATCGCACTTGGGCCTTCCAAGGGGGTGATGCCAAGGCGTTTGTCTCAGGCCCGTTCCGGCCCCGATTGGTGGGGCCTCTCGAGAAGAAAGCCCGCTTGGGGAGCACGCGCGTCTGTTTTCAGAGCCCCGTGATCAACGCGATGTAGCAGGAATCGCATGTAGGCCTCCCACGATAGTGTCGGTCCGGAGTGCTCCACGAGCACGCTCGCGCACAGATAGGTGGGATGTTTGAAGTAGCAGTGTCTCTCGCCAGAGTCCCAGCAACCCGTTTTCGCGGGGCCTCACGCAGATGGCCTCGCTGCCTGCCCCGAAAGGGGCCTGGGCAGCGAGGAGGAGGACAATCCCCAGTAAGCGCAGATCCTGCGCAGGACCTGCGCAGGGGCGCCTCCACCCCTCCCCGCGGGCACCTTGGGAGGCGCAAGCGCACGGGGGAGCACCCGCACCTCACCTATGATGCGGGTGGCCTCCTTGAGGCTGCCATCCGAAGTTGGGCCGCAGCGCGATGCGTCACGCTGCATGCTGCAATGCCCCCGCCGGCAAGCACCGCAGCACCAGACCACGCATCTGCGCGGTCAGCTAATGGTGCCGCGGGGCACGGTGCTCCAGGGCCGTAGGTTTCCGGGACGTGCCATGGGATACCGGCCCGTGCATCGTGCCATTTACGCCGCGCGCGGCTCGAGCACATCAAATGGCGAAACTGGGCGGGTGGGCCCAGCGGGATTTTCGCCAGGGCTCGAGCCAACGGCTACGGTGATCGAAGAAGGTGATGATGATGGCGACAAGTCAACGCATGTGTAGTTGACCGAAATATGTCACTTTCAAAACATTGAAAAGATAATATATATATATATATATACCAAAAAAGTATACCAAAAAAGTATGTGGCGGTATCTGGGTTTTGTCGCAAAGGTCACATGGGCCACGACGCACCCACCCCAAGGCATCTTAGCCCGGGGTCGAATGCTACTTCTACACCCTGTAGTTCCCAGCAAGCTGGAACCAACCCGATGCTGATGCTACGCCACTTCCTGCCCCTGCGTCCCCATCGGATGTGGGCCCCCGCCCCACGAAGAGCATGCCTACAGGCTCAAGCCCCCCATCACACCCTGATGTCAGCCAACCATGAACACCGCGATGTAGCATCGCACTCGGGCCCTCCGAGAGGCTTGCCCATCAATGAGAACGGTCGCTTGCGGGATTGAATTATCCTCCTCCTCCTCCTCCTCCTTCTCCTCCTCCACCTCCTCCTCCTTCTCCCCGTTTCCCTCCTCCGTTCCTTTGCCTTCTGCATAACTCCTCCCTGCCGCACCCCGAGGCCAGTGGCAGTCGGAAGGGCGGGTCAGGCGTTTCGCCTGAGACGTCCTTACAATGTACGTACGAGCCCTATGCTGAAAAGCTGACAACCGTTTCACAAATGGAGGGCGGGCCATGTCCAAAATGCGGCTCTCGCCTCAGCGCCGTGCACGTTCGTTTGAAAAAAGTACGAAAGCTTAACGGATTGAAGGCGCGCCATTTTCAAAATATGGTGAACACATCCGCGCCGCGCACTTTCGTCTTTCAAGATAGCAGGAGTTTCACCGATTGAAGGCGTGCCGTTTTCAAAATGTGGCTCTCGCCTTAGCACCGCGCACAGTCGGTTTACAAGATGCAAGAACTTCGCATATTGAGGGTGCCTCGCTTTCAACATGTCGCTCTCGCCTCAGCGCCGCGTACATTGGTGCTGAGAATCTGCAAGAGTTTGGACGGATAGAGGGCGGCTCGTTTTCAAAATGTGGCTCTCGCCTGAGCGCCGCGCGCATTCGTCTTCAATGTTGCAAGAGTTTCACTAGTTCTCATGGTAAACGCACCAGAAGTGGTACTTGAAACGACTCTGGGCTGTCATAGCGCAACCGTTACGCTGATTCGCTGTGTTCAGGTCCCAGGAACGGTGTTGTGGCACGATCCACGATCGTCAAAACGCAACAGTCAGGTTGACTCGTGGCGTTTAAATCCTGGGATTGGTGTTTTGGCACGCTTCAGGATTTTGTCACGGCTGTCCCCCAACAGGGTACTTCCCTCAGTGGAAATGGGTCCTTGCAGGGACCTATGAAGAGGGAGCTTGGGGGGAGGGTGTTTTCCAACATCGTTGATGAGTCTTGGACTTACACTGGTCCTCCTCCTCCTCCTCCTCCTCCTCCTCCGCCTCCTCCTCCTCCTCCTCCTCCTCCTCCTCCTCCTCCTCTTCTGGTCATCCCCCATCCTTGTTCCGTACAGGCGGCCCGGATGAGTAGGTCGACCCTGCCAGCTCGAGGGTACCCTTGTGTCCTGTGCCTCGCGACACGTGCCTTCCTACACTCCCATGGCGATGTGGCCCTTGGAAGGATCTTGTGTCCTCTCGCGTGCCCTGTCCAATCAAGTCCGACTGTAACCCCCCTCCCTTACGAACAACACCACCAAAGACGCGGGCCCGGCCTGGCGTCTCGCCCGAACCTTCCCCAGCCTACTGTGAAGTCGGGCCTGTCCCCCTACGGGGGGAGCTGGGGCGAAAAATAAAAAATGTCAAAAAGAGACCCCAAATGGCCCCCCCAAAAAAATAAGCTCCAAAAATCGTCCCCTGACGATTTGTTTTACTTGGTATTCCTCCTGTGGAGGGACAGGCCCGACTTGAGCCTGCTGCCCCCTCGGAGCTGTCCCGCGGCTGCACGGCCGGGGGCCCGCGGGCCCGTGCTCAAGGAGTGGGGCGCCCGCGCCTCGGCGCCCCGCGCGCGCGCCCTCTCCTCGACGTCCGTGCAGTGCCCGCACGGGCTCCACCCCGCCTCCGTGTCAGACGCGCGCGACAGTCCGACGGATGGATGCTGAGGAGGAGGAGGAGGAGGAGGAGGAGGAGGAGAGGAAGGAGGAGGAGGAGGAGGACGAGGAGAGGGAGAAGGAGGAGGAGAGGAAGGAGGAGGAGGAGGAGGAGGAGGAGGCCAGGTCCTCTGCAGGATGGGGCGCCCGCCCCCGCGCCGCGCGCGTGCGCCCGCGAGGCCCGCGGCAGCCCTGCAGGAGTGGAGGCCGCTGCTCCTGTTCGACCGTGGGGCTCTCGCTCGAGAGCCCCTCCCAAAACGTGCGCCACGTGTGTGCACGTGTACACCAAGTGCACGGATGGAGACGGGCACCTGTCCAGAATGGGGTCACATCGCTTCCGCGCCGCGCACATTCGTCTTGAAAGCCTGCGGTAGGTATACCGACGGAGGGGCTCCTTTTCAAAATGGGGCTCTCGCTTCAGCGCCACGCACAATCGTCTCAAAAGCCTCATTGAGCCCCATACGTTTCCAACATGGGGTTCTCACCTTAACGTCGCGCACACTCGTCTGAAGTTTGAACAAATGAGGCTGCTGCACAGATGGGTGGCGGTTCCTTTTTTAAAGGGGGCCCTCGACCAGACGCATTGAGTATTGCAACTGTTACACGGATGGGGGCAGTTCTCTTTTCGACAAAGGAATTCCGCTGGAAACCTCGCTGCACCAGCAAGGTAGGCACCTGCAGAACACCAGACGCTTGAACGAAGAGGCTGGGCGACGGGCCCGTGCTCTCCCCGACAAGTGCTTGGCATGCCCGAACCCGACGGAGGCCTCACACATACGAGCGTCGCCTCTTGGTGAGCTTCCTAGTACCTTGGATCTGCAAGGAGGGCGGCGTCAAAATGGCGGTGGCCACCTACGGATTCGCCAGCACAACGGGCCAGGGGTCCCCGGACGATAAATGCCCCGGCAAGGTCCTGGCAAGGTCTCGGCAATTCCGGGCAGGTTCCCGGCAGGTTCCAAGCAGGTTCTTGCCAGGGCTGGGTCAGAGATGCCAGAACTCCTGGGCGCGGCCTCGGGGGCCCCCGCAGCGACCCCAAGAGGCGCTAAAGGGGTGGCAGGCCCCCTGGCCTCAGGCCAGGAGCGCTCCAAGATGGCCCACGTTGGTCCCAAGACGGCCCAAGAAGCGCACAAGACGCTCCAGGAGTGTTCCAAGAGGACTCCTAAAGGCCCCGAAAACACAAAATCAATTGATGTTGCTTCGGGGTTCGGACGATTTTGGCGGTGGGGCCTTTTCGAGCTGCCGACCGCCAAGGATATCCCAAGAGGCCCCAAGATCGCTCCAAGACGCCCCCCAAAAAAGCATCCAAGAGGACCCCAAATACAGTGACAACGTATAGTAAGGACGCGTGGTAAGGACGCAAGACCCTTGGAGGCCGAAGTTGAAGTATTCTGGGCGGCAGGCGGCCAAACCCCCAGGGAACCTGAGAAACTGGCCTGCGAAAATGGCTAGGGACGGGCCGCAAAGGCTGAGGCAGGCAAGGACCCAAGGGTACCCTTGAAAGAGTCGTTTGTCCTTACTGTGCGCGTCGATTGTAGCCCAGGATGGCCCCGAGACGGCCCCTCAGAGGCCTCCAACACGGCCCCAGGATGGGCCCAAGAGGGGGCCCAGAGGGGTAACGCCCCAAGATCGCTCCAAGACGCCCCCCAAAAGAGCCTCCAAGAGGACCCCAAATAGCCCAGGATGGCCCCAAGACGGCCCCCAAGAGGCCTCCAGGACGGCCCCAGGATGGGCCCGAGAGGGGGCCCAGAGGGGTAACGCCCCAAGATCGCTCCGAGACGCCCCCCAACAAAAGCCTCCAGGAGGACCCCAGATAGCCCAGGATGGCCCCCGAGACGGCCTCAAAAGAGGCCTCCGAGGCGGCCCCCGAGGAGGGGCCCCAGAGGGGCCCCAGGAGGGGCCACCCGCACGGACATAGTTCGAGCCCGCGGCCCCCCCGAGGCGCCCAGGGAGACCCCCGAGGCGACCCCAAAGAGGTCTCCCCAGGAGGCCCCCCCAAAAGAGGCCCCCCCCAAAGAGGCCCCCAGAAGAGGCGCCGAAGCCCCAAGAGGCTCCCAAGAAGTCCCCAAGAGGCCCCAAAAGGCCCCAAGAGGCCGCGTCCCCCAAGAGGCCCCCCAGAGGCCCCAGAAGCGGCCCCAACGGAGGCCCCATGAGAGGCACCGAAGCCCCAAGAGGTCCTCAGGAAGCCCCCAAGAGGCTCGCCAGAAGCCTCAGAACCGATCCCCAGAGGCTCCCGAAAGCCCTCCGACGAGACCCCAAGAAGCATCTAGAAGGACTCTGACCCACAACCCAGGTACGTCTCGAAACTCTGCTGGAGTTTTCTTGAGCCGTCTGGGGCAGTCGATCGGCTCACTTCGACAGGGTGGAAGCCACATCTCCAAAGATCTTCTCGAGGACATTCCTGCCTGCCCTACCTTTCCCCCTGGGCCCGAGCACACCACCACGCAGCCACAGTGATGCGAAGCGGGCCGGCGGAATGAGCGAAGCGATCAAATAAAAGACAATATCCATACGTGACCAGCGCGCCAACAGCTCCCCAACTACGTTCTAGTAGAGAGCCTACACACCGAGATGAATTATTCCGACAGACGCGCGAGGAGTCCACGCAGGCCTGATAGCCTCCGACCCATGACCCGAAGATCACAGACCATCGACGCTAGAGACAAACTGCTCGAACTCAGCAACGATAGCGAGAGCTCGACGCCGCTGCCGACAGTCAGCAGGACGCCCCTGACGAGGATCATCGTTTGACCGATCCTCATCCCCACTAGGCCACCTAGGTGGAGATGTTTGTTGTTCTCTTCGGGTTTCACGGGGCCTATCCCCACCAGGGGGGGGGCAGGAGGGGCCGACCTCCTCCAGCCTTCCTCCCTCTTCCCTTCTCCTTCCTCTCCTTTCTCTTTTCTCCTCCCTCCCCCCTCCTCTTCCTCCTCGTCCTCACTCTCATCCTCCTCCTGCTCCTCCTCATCATCATCCTTCTCCACCATTGAGTTTCCTTTGGAGTTATTCCTCCCTGTCGCACCCCGAGGCCAATCGGAAGCGCAGGCCGCCAGGCGTTTCGCCTGAGACTTCCTCACTGCTCATGAGCCTGAGGCTTAGAAACTGGCAACAGTTTCACAGATTGAGGGCGGGCCGAGTCCAAAATGTGGCTCTCGCTTTTACGCCGCGGGAATTCGTTAAATATATATATATATATAGATATAGATATAGATTGACAAGAGCTTCACGGATTGAGGGCGGATGGCTTTCACAATGTGGCTCTAGCCTTAGCGCCGCGCACTCTCGTCGCAAAAAATGCAAGAGCTTCACAGATGACGGGTCGTTTTCAAAATGTGGCTCTCGTTGTAGCGCCGTGCACATTCATTTTAGAAATTTGCAAGAGCTTCACAAATTGGTGGATGCTTCGACTCCCCCCGCATCCCTCCAACGGAAACCCACTACAAAAAATATTCCCGGACACCTCCCGGGTCCGTCCTGACCTGTCTGTGGAACTGCGAAGCAGCGAAACTAAGAGGAGGCGGATGAGATGGATACGGAAGGTTAGTGCCGTCTCGACTCTGGCGCTGCTTCCTGACACCGCGGGGATCGTCCAACCTTGAACGATCGGCCGTTTCCGAAACGTCAAAGCGTTCAACATCGACCGACTCTGAGTCGCCAGGCAGCGTTCAGCGCTGAGCGCCGGCGGCGGGGGCGCCGCCGGTCGACACGACGCGAACCTACCGTATACAGTTGGCGTCCCCCCGCGGGGGCCCCGATATCCGGACGGCGTCGGCCCTCTTGGTAGATGAGCTAGAGGAACAGAAAACGGCACAAACACAGACTCTTTACGCTCCGCGCGGATTGCTGGCATCTGCGCTGAACTCCCCTCCCAGGCGGGCGGAGCGCGCCAGGGGGTCCCAGCGCAGGACCAAGAAATCCGCGCGGACCGCAGAAAGTTGATGTTTACAGTCGGACCTAGGACAGAAGAGCCAGCTCAAGAACACGAGACCCTCCGCCGGCCAAAAGAAAGAGCACTCGAGGGTAGACCCTCTCCCAGGAGGCCCAAGAACATCCAACAGACACGAAGAACATTAGGGCACCCTCCTCGAACGATCTTATTAGGGAGACCAGCAAGTACCAATACCGCGATTCCCCGGACCCCTCCCGGGGTGCGTTCTGACCAGAATTTCGAGGCGAATCCAACGGTGACGACGAGGGCCTCCAAGGAGGCCCAAAGAAGGGGGAAACGGGCGGAGGGTCGCGGTATGGGTACCTTACCTCCTCTGACTCATACCTCGGTCCGACTGTACTGTAGGTTCGTGCGGAGGTCGGCGCGCGCAAGGGCTTCTGACACCGCGTCGATCGTTCAACCTTGAATAGATCGCAGCCTCGATGGTTCAAGGTTGACTTCAGTCGGGACCAGTGGCGTTACCGTGTCCATCCGTGCTTCCGCGTCGCAGAATTCAGCCTTGAATGCCTTCGCTGGTGTCGCCGGCGCTCCAACGATGCATGAACCTACCGTATGCAGTTTTTGGTTCTTCGACGGACTAAAAGCGGCAATCCCGCGAGGGGACGCAAGGGACGGGCCCCAGCGCTCCGGTGGCAGCAGTCCAGGGCGGAGAGCCGGGCCGAGGCATGGCGTCGGAGCGCGGCCACGGGCGGCCCTTCGATTGGTGCCCCGCCGCGGCCGCGCGGCCATGATCGAGGGCGGAAGATGGGACGCACAAGGACATGCTGCGGAGGTTTTCCTCCTCCTCCTCCTCCTCCTCCTCCTCCTCCTCCTCCTCCTCCTCCTCCTCCTCCTCCTCCTCACAAGAAGCCTTCCACGAGATACCCGACCCTGGACGCACAAGGACATACGGTGGGGGCATTGGATAAGGAAGCATTGGATAAGGAGTCCAGAGTCTGGAAGCCGGTGGAACTCCAATCGTGGACTGGCCATGGACATCACCGCCGCCCTCATCAGATAAAGAACCCTCCATCGTCTGCAGCCTCCTGGGTACATTCCTTAACGAATGCCCCCACCGTACTACGGAGGCTAGTCCACAAGAAACCTTCATCGAGAAATCCAACCCTGAGACCCCAGGAAGTCCATTGATTATTCGGTGTGGGAACGTCACGCTTACCATGGCAAAACCACCGGAACCCAAGAAACCAAGGGCACACTGGAGGCAAGCAGGGTACTTCTTGGCATAGGTCTCCACTGTACTACGAGGAGGCCTTCGAGAGGCATTCTCAGAAGGCGGCGGGGTTTCTCAGACGCCCTCAGGCCTCCTGAGAAGGTCTCTGCGTCTTCGGGGAAGGCTCGGAAAACTTCGCAGGAGGCCGGAGGACTTCCTCGCCTTCTGAGAAGGCCCGCCTCCTCTCACCTCCCCCCCCCAGGCTGGCCGCCCGTTCTCTGGGTTAGCCGCTCGCTCGTAGGAAGCACAAGGAGGAGGAGGAGGAGGAGGAGGAGGAGGCGGGGAGGAGGAGGAGGAGGAGGAGGAAGGAGGGGGAGGGAGGATGGGGAGAGGAGAGGAGGAGGAGGGAGGAGGAGAAGGGGAGGGGAGGGGGGGGAGGAGGAGGAGGAGCGAGAAGGAGGAAGAGGAGGGCGGGGAGGAGGACGGGGAAGGGGGAGGGGAGTGAAGAATTGGCGGCATCGCTTCTCCGCCCTGCAGGTTGGGAAAACACGGGCCAAAGGGCCGCCCAGGCGGCGCTGACCGCTCGGAGGGGGTCCCTGGCACTGCTCTTCATCCTGCAAGGAGAAACGTCCAAAACTCAGAGTCGAAAGTGAAACTACCTACAGGGCGGGCCGCGGGCAGTAGACCCCAGGAGAGACGAGGACAAGAAGGAAAGAGGGAGGCGGCCACTCAAGCGTGACCTTTGCTACGGCCCTTAGCCCGCCCCTTAGGTTTAGCTCGGGGCTGTGCTACAAAAACTCTACCCACATCCTGAGGAATCCCCTGGAGCTGAAATCTGCTCGCATCCTGAGGACAAGTTGAAAGCGAAAAACCTCTCGGGCCCTCACTCCTAGAAACCTGCTCACTAGGCGGTAAAACCCCACGCGCCTGAAGCTCTCGAAATCGTTCACTGCCTGCAAATGCAGGCGGCACAGAGACAGAAGCCCTCCCCTCAGTCGTTTTCACTCCTGATCGCTTGGCCTCTGCACCTCCCCCCCGTCGATTTCCAGCTCCTACTTCTGGTACCGCTCCAGCAGGCGGGCGGCGTCTCTCTCCAACGATCCTTTGGGTGCAGCCCCATGTTTGCGCACTCCCCCACTCGCCTTGAGATATTTCTCGATCGCTGTCTCGAGCTCGCGATACTGGCTGTCGATCGCTAGGGTGACGCGAAACAGCTCGGATTTGTTCTCTACCTTTTTGGTGGGACGAACTCGGCACGCTCGAACTTCGTTGGACAGCTCCTGCACGGGCTTTTTCATGATCACCTGAGTCCAGTACTGCTCTACCACTGTCTTCACATCTGGCGGACAAGCTGGGTCCGTGCCGATGCCGTGAATCAGCGCGCTCCAAACGTGCAAGAACGGGGGGCCGAGATCCTCTTTCTGGCCCGCTTCGGACATCCTCTGAACTTTGGTGTGATACGCCACTCCTGCGGCCTTCGCCGCCTTCACGGCGGGGTTCGTGATGCAAATGAGCCACGTCTGGAACACGACCCCGCACACTTCTCGCAGCTCCGCTGCGTTGCTCAAAGCAAGCCTGGTCAAAATGACGATTAATTGCTTGAGAATCGCTCCCTTCCCGCCTCCACCAGCAGCTTGAGAGGCGTCTTCCACGAGAGATGCTCCATCCACCCGACGTGACTTTGCCCTCGGCTCCTCCCCCTCCAGCACCCAAGCCGGCTTCGCATCCATGGCGCGGCGGAACTTGAGGCACAGTCTCAAGATGCGTGCAAAGGTGTCGCTGCAATTGCTCGAACAGTCCTGCAACATACGGACAGAGTGGACATGCTAGAGTTGACGGTACACGAATTTCAGACAAGTTCCTGGTCGCATCGGAAGCACAAACTCTCCGCCGAAGACTTTGCGATAAATGTCGACGACAGCTCTCACGGTGCGCAAAAACGAGCCCACATACACAACACTGGTTTGACACGGATAGTACATGTGCAAGTTCTTGATATCCATGATGTGCTATGATGTGTGTGTGTACCGCACGCCTATCCCGAAGTACTCGCCCACAGACTTCCCCATCAGGATTTAGCAGTTCACAGCGAAACGCCCCTGGATCATCATCACAAGGTATGACTCCTGAAACTTCTTCTGCCTCAAGAAACTCTGGCGGTGGGATCCGAACACCTAGAATGCGAGATCGAAGTTGTCGGGGATCGAGACGATTGAAGGCCTCGCTCATCACAGGGTCCGAGAACGCCAGGAAAATACGATCTCCCAAATCCTCCAGAAAGGCTGCCCCATCATCAAGATCAGCTAAAGCCCGAAAATCTTTTGCAACCTGCTGAGCCCAGGGGGAAGCCCTCGATGTGAGACGCCCTCCATCTAGCACAGGCACATCACATTCAAAACTTGTTGATTTGCAAGCGGAGCACGAGCCAGGGACTGCCAGTAGCGCAAGCGACGAATGGTGAGCTCTGCGCCCAACGGCACAAGACGCCACCATTGGAGAACAGCTGCAGAGGTCATGGATCTGGGATGTCCAGGAGCCTCTCGGTCACATGCTTTCCCACCCATCGCCCTTCTAGCGTACCCAGCCACCAGGTTAGTCAACTTAGACAGCTCGGCCTCACTAGGTAAAAAGCCCTCCAGCCCAGATAAAGCAGTATTATATATCTTGGAGATAAGAATGCACCTGCGTAGCCGATGTGGAACTCCAGGGACACTCCAGAAGCCTCCGAGAGAATACCAGGCCCTTTGCAAAGCCTTACCCCTGGACTTGAGCTCGGGCCCGAACTTGGTCGCAGACGACGGCATGATGAACCCAAGACTCTTGATTTCTAAAGCCGCTTTGCCAGGGAACTCGATGAGCCCATCACGGACCTCCCGAAGATCGCGTCCCGCCCCAGGACCTCTAATAGACAGGAGAGTGTATTGCTTAGTAAGATTCTGCCGAAACCCACAATCTGCTAGAGCCGCATCCAGCTCCTGGTTGGACCTCACAGACTTATTCACAAGAATCATCGCCGTATGCCCTGCAAGCTTCTTCGTAAGGTCGTCGGCATACTTAGTGAGTGAGAGATCTACCAGCTGACGCGTAATAGGACAGCGAGCCCGCATTAAAGTCGAATGTGGATCCCACTGGTGCTGCATATCACACCAGTTCGAGACAGGCGGCAAAAAAGTTCGCACGAACGTGTGCACGGCAAATCTGTCGCCCATGAGGCCGCCGCAGCCTGGGCGCAAAACAACATCCCCATCACTTCCCCGTAGAATAGTTGCAGCACAATCCATACGCTGTACTCCAAATCCCCTATCTCCCTCCTTGAAAAGATCAGAAGCAGCAGCACGCATACATCTTCTGTCGCTGGACGCGAAAGCGTTGGTCAAGTCGTGAGCGTTTGTGATATAAGACAATCCTCGTTGCTCGAGCCACCACCCCGTTGTGTTCTGAACAATCACGGCCCCTTCTCTACGTCGAAACTGAAGAAACCCGTGGTCCTGGGGAGTAGCTTTCAACAAACCCGCCTGTCTCATCAATCCTGCAGCCCACGACTTACCAAACGGGCCGAGCAAGTGAATCCAGCGAGACTTGCCGTCAGGCCGAGGAATAGGTACACCCCGACTCAGGTGCCAGCGCAGAGGAGCAACATGGCAGTGACGCACAAGAGTGAGACCGCGTAAAAGCAGCTCCTGACCAGAGCTCATATCTGGAACCTCAGCGTTCATCCCGACCCCCTCGCCACGATGAGACCAAGCCTTATTGGGGAACAAGAGAAGCCACCAAAGCTCCAGCGGAGGACACCATTCGGGAACAGCACGCCGTTTCCCTGCACGATTGATAGCAAACATGATAGGCTCTAGATCACGACGAGCGGCAGACACCTCTTGCTCCGAAAAACGTGGCCCTCTGAGAACCCCTTGAAGTTGTTCCTGCTTCCAGGAATC